AAAAAAAAAAAAAAAAAAAAAAAAATAGGACCAAGACATCAAACAGGACAGATGGACAAAGCCTAGAGAGAATGAGCTACTGGAACCTTTTCTATTTGTTTAGGCAACAAACAGTTAATGAGCAGCAAATAGAAGGAGGTGTACATTCACTGGAGTGTAGGCAAATAAATATTAAAACCAAGGACATACCGTTTCACAGTGAACAGACTGGCAAAAAATTGATGAGGTTGTGTATTTATAAGCAGACAACTTATTCACTGCTGGTGGGCTTGTAAATTGATTAAATAACTTTGGCTATTTGCCAAAATTGATGAGAATGTGGATTTATAAGCAGAGAAGAACTCTTATGCACTGCTGGTGGGCCTGTAAATTTATTAAATAACTTTGGCTATTTGCCAAAATTGATAAGAATGTGGATTTATAAGCAGAGGAGAACTTTTATGCACTACTGGTGGGCTTGTAAATTGATTAAATAGCTTTGGCTATTTAGCAATTTCTAGCAGTTAGAGATGCCTATAACCCAGCAATTCTACTCTTGGCATGTGCCCTAAAGCAACTTGCCTATATGCAAAGACAAATCTTCATTGCAACATTGCTCCTAGTGAAGGGGGAAGTCCGGAGGAGAAGTAATCAAAATGTCATCTACAGGAGAATTTATATTGCACATAGTTATCCAATAGATACAGAATACTATATGGTGGTAAAAATGTTACGTACAGGCTGGGCACAGTGGCTCAAGCCTGTAATCCCAGCACTTTGGGAGGCTGATGTGAGGGGATTGCCTGAGCCCACAGGTTCAAGAACAGCCTGAGCAATTGGTGAGACCTCATCTCTACAATAAATTTAAAAATTAGCCGGATGTGGTAGTACGCACCTGTAGTTCCAGTTACTTGAAAGGCTGAGGCAGAAGGATTGCTGGGGCCCAGCAGGTCAACGCTGGGGTGGCCGTGAGCGTGCCACTGCATTCCAACCTGGATGACAGAGTGAGACTCCAACTCAAAAAAAAAAAAAAAGGTTACATACAGCAACATAAATGAATTTCACAAACCGTTTTTTTTTTTTGCTTTTGAGTCATTATGTTGCCCATGCTGGCCCAGAAATCCTGGGCTCAAGCAATCCTCCTTCCTCAGCCTCCTGAATAACTGAGACTGCTGGTGCACACTACCATGCCTACGCCTGGCTCCACAGTGTTGAGTGAAAAAACATTGAATATGAATGCACACTGTATGATACCACTTAATACTATTATTTAAAAAGCATGAGAATACTGAAAACTAAGTTCAGGAGAGTGCCTATGGGTAATGGTGGGGACTGATCAGTAAGAAATTCATAGGTGGTTCAATTGTGCTATTATGTTTTATTTCTTAAAGCAGAAGGACTGTATTCAAGTGTTATATTCTTTATGACTCTGCATGTATAAAATGTTTCATAATACATTAAAATATAATTTGAGCTCTTACTCTGCTATGTACTGAGCTACTTTGAACTCTGCAGGGGAAAGACAAACATAAAGATGCAACAGCAAACAAACACTGTCCACTGAGGAGCTTCAGGGAGGACTGGTCAGGTTTGTGACTGTCATGACTATTTTTTAAGATTGGGCAGGTGCCAGGACAAAATGCAGAAGTAGTTCCAGGTAAAAGGTGCATCACTGCTAAAGCAAAGAGGAGAAAACTGAACTGCTGCATGGCAGATAAGTATTTCAGGGTGGCTTGATTTGTGATACAGGTTGGATTCCCCAGGAAACAGATGGTGAGACATATTTGCATGCAAGCGGCTTACTGAGGAGAAGTTGAACTGTAATGAGCTACAATGGAGGCACCAGGTAAACCCAAGGGATGGCCCTCCAGAGATGTCCTGAATTGAGACAAGTGGGTGAAGCCTTCGTGTTGCTGCATAGATGATTCTTGAATGTGGACTAACCCCAGGGAAAGGGTACATAATCTTGAGAGAGGAAGCACCCTTCAGCCAAGGACACTTCTCAAGGAGGGACTTATCTGTAAGCCATCAGCAGCCAACACTTCAGCACGTGGGGGAGTGAGAGCCTTGGTCCTGCCAGGAACCTGAGCAGCACACCCCAGCTTCTACTACAGTCCTTCCTTGGCACCTCTCCGATCTACTTGCTTCATATAAGTTCACCCATCTGGAAAGAATGTCTCCAGAATGCTGGGTGGTTCCTTTTGTATGGGGAAACTTACAAGAGAAAGGCTGAAGTGATCATGGAGCCACAAGAGACACTTATTATTTCCTCCACTATTACCCACTGGAGGGTCCCCTCCCCACAGCTAGCACCTCCACTGTTGTAAATGACCCCATTCCCAGAGACTTCACAGTCCCTGGTCACTGTGCCCTACTCAAGCCATGGCTGCTGTACTTGTCCATGTATATCAAAGTTGGGCAAGAAAACCAGGTACAGCGGCACACACCTGTAATCCCAGCTACTCAGGAGACTGAGA